TTCATGACCCCGAGATCATGACCTGAGCTGAAACCAAGAGTTGAACAAGCTCAACCAACTGAGCCACCAAGGTGCCCCAATCCAAGAGTCTTTTTTTTTTCTTTTTAATATTTTATTGATTTATTTGACAGAGAGAGCACAAGCAGGGGGAGTGGCAGGCAGAGGGAGAGGGAGAATCAGGCTCCCCGCTGAGCAAGGACCTCAATGCGGGGCTCAATCCCAGGACCCTGGGATCATGACCTGAGCTGAAGGCAGACCCTTAACCAACTGAGCCACCCAGGCACCCCCCAATCTAAGAGTCTTAATAAAAATCCTTACATGATTCCCATTTTACAAATAAGAAAATCAGGTTAAGTGACTTGCCCAAAGTCACATGAGGAAAGAGCAGAGTCAAGATTTGAGCCTGGTGGTGGCAGTCACTGCCTCCTAAGCCCCTGGGTGCCAACACACTGTCCCTGGTGTTTATTTAGTATAATATCTAGTTTAATCCTCATAACAACCCGACAGGGATGGTATTGTTATCCTACTTATCCTCATGTTGTAGCGGAAGATGCTGGAGTCCAGAGAGGTAGGTGATCTTCCTGGTTGTACCCAACATGAGTTTGTGACATCAGCATTCAGGTCCTGCTTTTGCTCTGGCCCTGATTGGAGGATTTCTGCCTTCTTTCTGCGTTTATCCCATACAAGGAGCTCTCACCTTCCATGGCGTTTATGACTTCAGCCACTGGGAAGCTCTCCCTTAGGACAAGCCGGAATCTGCTCCTTCTGAGCTCTGGCTGCAGGGACTTCACAGAGCTCCATCGTATCGTAGGGTTAGCATCACAAGTCCTTACTTTCTCCTCCAGATATGTTCCCTCCAACCTGCTGTAGACAATCAATGTCCCTCCCATGGGTCAGAGGTCAGATCTGGCCCATCCACAGAGAGAGATTGAATTGACTGTCACCTCCTTGTCCTGAGCACCCACTCTTATTGACCAAAATCTTCAGCCTCAGCCTGGCAGTGAGGGAAACTCCAGGTGAGATTGACATTCAGGATGTTGACTTTTTGAGTGGAAGTAAAGTGGTTTGTGGTTTCAGAGACCAGCTCCAGATATGCTCTCACCCTCACCCCCTCCTGTTTGGGGAAATCCAACTTCCCTGGGTTTCTCAGGGTTCTGGTAAAAAGCCTTAGTAGCTTCCTGAGACTTTTCTTTTCTTTCCTTTCTTTTTTTTTTTTTTTTTTAAAGATTTTATTTATTTATTTGACAGAGAGAGACCCAGCGAGAGAGGGAACACAAGCAGGGGGAGTGGGAGAGAGAGACGCAGGCCTCCTGCTGAGCAGGGACCCCGATGTGGGGCTTGATCCCAGGACCCTGGGATCATGACCTGAGCCGAAGGCAGACGCTTAACGACGGAGCCACCCAGGCGCCCCTTCCTGAGACTTCAATACTGTAGTCATTTGTGTAGTCAATTGCTCTGATCTAAAAGAATAATAAAACTTATCTCTTCCTGAGAGGCCTAAATGATGATAGCCTGTACAAGGTTCCTAGGTTAAGCCCAAAGGTGCCAGGAAGCCTGGGGCAGCTTCCTAAGTGGGCCAGCATGCAACATGGAAGAGCTTCAAGTGTTTTAGAAGAAATGAGCCGCAGAACTTGGAGACAAGTCCAAAGACTTGTAATATTTAGGGTTTACTTATTTTTTTGAGATGCAAGTCATTGTTTATCTGGATACTGCTTTGGGATTTAACAAACTATTAAAAGGAATGGGAGGGGGTGGGAGGGATGGGGTGGCTGGGTGATGGCCATGGGGAGGGTATGTGTTGTGAGCGCTGTGAATTGTGTAAGACTGATGAATCACAGACCTGTACCCCTGAAACAAATAATACATTATATGTTAACAACAACAACAAAAAACCAAACCAAACCAAAACAAAACAAAACAAAAAGCAAGCATGGGTTGGGAGGGAGGGTTGGAGAAGGTAACAGAAAAAAAAAAAAAAAAAGAATGGGACGTTCAGTTCATAAATATAACTTTTTTATATAAATACAAGAATACTCTGCTTAAAATAACTGAGTTCTTCCACCCCCCCAAATTCTGCATTTTCCTAGGATTTTGATCAAGCACATGAGAGCAAATCTATATTTAATCAACAAGGCTTAATAAGACAATCTTTAATATTAATCTAAGATCATGGAGATTATAGAGCTGTGCTGTCCCATTTGATAGCTACTATAAACATGTGGCTCTTGAGCACTTGAAATGAGGCGTCTGAAATGAGATGTGCCCTCAGTGTAATATACACACCTGATTTCAAAGACTTAGTATGAAAAGAGGAATGTAAAATATTTCGTTAATAATTTAAGTAAGCTCTACGCCCAACATGGGGCTTGAATTCATGACCCCGAGATCAAGAGTTGCATGGTCTACCGACTGAGCCAGTCAGATGCCCCACATTAATAATTTTCATATTGGTTACATGTGAAATGGTAATATTTTGGCTACACTTGGTTAAATAAAATATATTTGTGAAATTAAAAAAAAATAATAAAACCAAAGACTTAAGCTGAGATGTGTAGGGAGCTATCTGGCTTCTGGGGAGATTTATTTACTTGCCGAAGAGTTGGAGTAAGAAGATCTTTAAGCAGGGGAGAGGGGCAGTTGCTTTCTCCTCCTTAATAATCAGGGAAAGGAATTCTTCCTTGTTGCTCCTATCTAGGGTGTCTGGCTACCGTCATGGGCCAGTTAACTTGGCTCTCATCCCATCATCCTGGGGCACAGGGAGCCAGACATTTACTATTTCCTGGGAGAGATTTAGTAAGTCTGTCTCTGATCCAGAACACCTCATGTGCACATCTGGGATAAAATTAATAAAAATGAACATTAAAAACCCAAGAGAGAGGCAAAAAGAGAGTCCAAAGGGGGAGATAAAACTGAAACATAAGCAGAAACTCAGATTAAGACCGGACAAATCCAGGGAAAGGCTGAGAGAAAGCGTGCCTGAGAGGCCAAAAGAGAAGGATCCAGTGAGTTTGTGTGTTTATTCATTCACTGAGTATTTATTGAGCACCTGCAGTGTGCACGCGCTTTATTCTAAACTGGAGACAAGCAGGGTACAAAATTTATATTCTGGTAGGAGGAATCGGTCAAAAAAACCAGTAAGTAAAATTTTGTTTGTCAGATGGTGATAAATGTTATAGGGAAAAACAGAGCAGCGGGAGGGAGATACGAGATTTAAAATCGGGGAGTTAGGCAAAGCCTCACTGAGAGTGGGATGGAAACCATGTCCGAAAGAGTGTTCCAGGCCGAGGGGCCAGCGAGCCCAAAGGCCAAGGCTGGAATGAGCGGGTGGGGAAGGGTGAGAGAAGAATGTGGTCAGCTTCAGTAGGTCCTGTAGGCCACAGTGAGGACTTTGGTGTTCATTCTGAATGCAATTTAAACTGAGTTTTGAAGGCTAAGCATGTAAAAGCCCAAAGCTCTCAGGACAGAATCAACTTCTGGGCTGCAGGCTGTGGATTCAGTTCCTTCATTTATTCAACTGTCCCTCTATCAGTCATTTCCCAAGCACTTAGGGAGGCCCACTTTGCCCCAGGGCCTGTGCTGGGCACTGGAGAGACCAGCAGGGAAAAGACCTTCCCCTCAACTCTGGAGGAAGAAAATCTTTCAGGGTAGTCTGAGGTCCTGTCCTCCCGCAGATGGGGCTAATACGGTCACTGTGATCTCGGAGAGCTATAAACTTGGGGAATAAGTGGGTGACAAACTGGAGAGGGGCCACAGGCAGGGACGGGGGAGGCTGGAGAGTGTGGAGGGGGGGGGGGGGGGGGGGTGGGGGAGAAAGGAGAGACTCCTCCCAAACGTGTTTCTGTCTTTTCTGTGGTATGAGAGGCCCCATCTCCCTGCTTTTGTAATTTCTGGCTCCAGGCTGAGCCAGGGAGGGGCCAGTGGATGGACCAGGACAGGTGGCCTTGACATGTGATGCTTGTCCGCTGACCACTCAGTCCTCACTTTTAGAACGGTTTCCAGAAGTGATGGAATGGGGTGGGCAGGACAACTAAATATAGTCCTGGGGCCAAGACTCAGCCTGGGAGGGTCTGTCTGCGATTCACTGCGTGTCCTCACCCGTGGTGTTCTTTCCCAGCTGTGCCTGTGGGTCCCCTGTCCTTGCTCTGAGCTTGCTGCTTGCCCTTTGCCTGTCTCCAGACACAACTCTGACACCCACCTAAGGTTAGGCCTGACCTTGAGTGGGCCTCCTGGGAGTCTCTTTTCGCCCAAGATCTCCATCCAGACCTGTGAGTCCTGTGGGTCTTGTGGGCCTGGAGATATGGGGGAGGGGAGGCCTGGGGATCCCGGAGAGGTAGGAGGGTAGGGGGTGGGGGGCTCTGCGGAATTTGGGGCAGGGGCTGAGGCCTGGGCCTAAGACAGGGGAAGGACTGCAACCTGGACTCCTGTTTAGGGCCTGGGATTGTGACAAGGTCCCTGTTAGTGGCTATTTTGGGGGCTGGGGCTGAGAAATGCAACTGAGACTGCTTTTGGGCTCAAAACCGAGTCCCCCTTCCCCGTTGGCCAGAGCCAGAGGCCTTTTCTGTATGAGACGTGAGGTCTTTATAGGCTGGGGAATCCTCCCTGTCTGGGTCTGGGGCCGGGCCTGGTTCGCGGCTCCGCTGAGCCTCCCTGACCGAGCCCTCCTCTACTCAGGTCCGTCATGTCGGCTGCGCCGGGCCTCCTGCACCAGGAGCTGTCCTGCCCGCTCTGCCTGCAGCTGTTCGACGCGCCCGTGACGGCCGAGTGCGGCCACAGCTTCTGCCGCGCCTGCCTGAGCCGCGTGGCTGGGGAGCCGGCGGCGGACGGCACGGTGCCGTGCCCGAGCTGCCAGGCACTCACGCGGCCGCAGGCGCTCAGCACCAACCTGCAGCTCGCGCGTCTGGTGGAGGGGCTGGCGCAGGTGCCGCAGGGCCACTGCGAGGAGCACCTCGACCCGCTCAGCATCTACTGCGAGCAGGACCGAGCGCTCGTGTGCGGCGTCTGCGCCTCGCTCGGTTCGCACCGCGGCCACCGCCTGCTGCCCGCCGCCGAAGCCCATGCGCGCCTCAAGGTGCGGGGATCGGGTGGCCTTCGGCGGCGGGGGGACCGGGGTGGGACGGGGTTGTTGGCTGGAGCGGGGTCTGGCCGATCTGGAGGTCGCCGCATTGACCTGGATTCTGAGCTTCAGGGCCGGGGGCACCTGGAGTGGCGGGGGACGCGGGGCGGGGGCGAGGCCGCTAGGGAATGGGGGCTGACGAGCGGCAGGCGGAGCCGGGCGGAGAAGGGAGCCTGGAAGAGGCACTCAGGGGCGG